TAGTCTTCAAGATCCATCCCTCTGAGGACTTGGAGTCGACATTATTTATCCTGTTCACTAAGTCAAGTCAGATATCTAGGTTTCCACTCTTCTTGCTCCTGCTGAGGTAAAGGTAGCAGCCTTGTCCTCTTCCCCAACTCGGGAACTCTTGGGAAGGAACTGTTTGTTACACTTCTGCTCACTGAGTCTTGTAGGAAGGGGGAGTTGGTGGTAGCCTATGTGGTGGTCTTTGAAGGACTCAGATACTACGACAGGCAGGGACAGCACCCAACAGAATCATCTCTAAACACCCTTCAAACTGCCTCTGCTTTGGTCTCAATGTCCCCAGTATTAGGTAATGACATTCCTCCCTGCCTTACACATCTACCACCTCACAGGACAACAACCAGCCAGGAAAGACACTATACTTAAGCTCCTGCAGGCCAAGGGCTTCACTAGCAGTCTGCAGGGTTGAGAAGTTGACTCCATGGCTCTGGGCAGCTGTCTGGCATACTTATCTGTCCCAACCAGGGGGCTGTTATCAAGTCCAGCCCTGCCCTGCCCACAGTTGGGGTGGTTATACAGCCATAGGTTAGACTAAAGGTCCTGTCCCCAAATGAATTCAAAGAGTAACTGAGGGGGCAGTGGGCCAACTCCATTTCTGCCACGAATTTTGGCTGGAGGAACTCTCAGACTGGATAACTGCCTACGCGAAAGAGCGGGTTAATAATGCATGCACAACTCTGATTACACAACGCCTGAACTCACGAGCTGTCCAGTCACAGGCACTTCACACCTGGGAAGGACAAAGTTCAATCCAGCACTCGCCCACAAAGCAGCTCCTTGTTAACACATAAAAATTGTTTGGCAAGGGCTTAGGGGTGTTGCTGAACAGTGGAGGACTGGCCTAGCATACATGAAGCCCTGGGCTCTGTCCCTAACACTGGAAAACAAACGCATACGACAAAAATTAACTGGTTTCCCAGAGTGCTTCGTGACCCCCCACGAACACCAAACACTGGAAGGGATATGGAGTCAAAGGAAGTCTCCTTTCCAGGGAGCTTGGGATTGCAACACACAGGGCTCCTGGCGTCCACTGTAACAGAAAGCCCAGGGATGCCGAGGGAAGCAAGAGCTGGGCCACCGGACCCATGGCAACAGGCCTCTTGCTCCATCCTGCCCTGTCTCTAACCTTCTTAGCCCCACTGCCATGGAGAGTCAAGGGCAGGGTATGCTCTACCCTGACCCTGAAGGCCTGCACGCCTGAAACAAGGCCTGACCTGAAGAAATGTAGGGACCAGAGCAGAAACCAAAGGTCCCCTCTGGCCTGTTCAACTTGACAGATCTCATCACAGTACCCAGAAAGCAACAGGGACAAAGGACACCCCAAGGCAGAAAGAACAGAAGACTGCCCAGCCAGCATCTGAGTTCCCCTCAGTGAGTTCCCTGGGATTTAATACTCCTCACTTGGGACATGACTGCTTAGTTGGGCACAAACTGTAGAAGGCTGGGGTCCCCCATAAGCACCTCTAGTTCGCCTGCACCACCCTTACCCCCTTTCCTTCTCCTTAATGGCCAAGGCTCCCCCTCATTCTCTGGCAGCCACTCGGGACTCTGGAGACTGCCAGCCACATTCCGATCCCAGACCACTTGCTTAGCAACTGTGCCGCCTTTTCTTGTCTGGAGAAAGGAGGTTGCTACACACCTCACAGGGTCACTGTGGGCCTTAAACGGTACGGTGGACCTAGAGCTAAAGGCAGTTCACGGTCTATAGTCCCTACCGCTCACCTAAAGGCCACGCTGCACATCTGCTCCGTAAAGGACCAGAAAGCAGTACCCTGTTGGGGCCAGAGGATGGGTGCCAACAAAATTGTACCCACAAAAGCCAACGGTGGGCTGGGTTTAATCTACAGAATACAGTTTGCTGGCTTGCGAGCCAAGAATGTCACTGGTGCAGAGGCCTCACTATCAGAGAGGCACATACTATCTGCCTGGGCATACAGTCTGGTCAGGAGACACAGAAACATGTATCACAGTAATACCATACTTCACACATCGCCCAGAGCGGCGCGGGGGTGTGGGGGTGTGGGGTGGGTGTGTGCTTATAAAAGAAATGTGAAGCACATGACTTGCTGAGCTCACAGACCCAGCCCTGCTCTCTGGCCCTAAGCGGACAACTTCTGAATAAATGAGTACAAGGAGAGGCAGACAACCTGGGAAGTCGGCTGCAGAGGCCCAGGGTGGTGGCTGCAGTGGGGGGGTCAGGGGCAGCACTGAGTGCTGGACAAAGGGAGAACATGGAGCCATCCGGTGATATGAAGTATATGGTGGACCACTGGAGAGGCCGGGGGACTGAGGAGCATAGTCTGTGTACAGTTGCCGGAACAACCAGAGCAAGCCAAGAGAGGTCAACTAGAGGCATGCACAGACTTCAGATACCTACTGAGGACAGCAACATGCTGAGAGGTGGGAACACAGGTTTAAAGGATGATGGGCCCCTGGGCCTGATCCGGGTGGGGTGAGGTGAGGAGAAAAAAAAGAGGACATGAACCCCGCACAAGTGCAGGGAAAATGACTGAACTCCACAGTTAGCACAGGCAGGCATGGAGGGCAGTGATTCTGGACACATTAACTGAGGCTCCTATGGGGCGGAGATCTGAAAGCAGGGAAGGGTCCAGTCCAAAGCTCAAGGCACTGAACGCATCTCCCACTGAGGGTGACAACACATCTAGAAGAGCTAGGAACCTCAGGGTATCTCAGGGTACAGGGGAGTAAGTCAGCCTGGGGTCAGGGCAGGAATGTCCAAACTGTCCCTTACTGACCCTGGGCCCCCCTACTATCACCTTAGAGGTGTGATCTCAGAATGGGAGTTACAGGAATGAAACACGTTGGAACTGGTCATTAACTCAGCTCCTAAGGACCAGGGCCTTGCCAGTGACCCACCCATCTCTCTGGCTGCTGTGTCCCTGCAAGACCTGTTCCAAGGCTTTTATCTCCACTTGGGGGTTCTCTACAGGGAAGGGCTGGCTAGAATAAGCTTGCTGCAGGCATGCCTCTGTGCCTGGGAGGCCAGGGCAGGACACACTCCTCCTTTCGTAACAGGACAAGACTTGCCCAGCACTTGGCAGAACAGTGTATGGCTGGGTCTCTGCCCTTCTGATTAGTTCGAAACTAGCACTTCCTAGAAAGCTGTTCATCTACACAGCACAGGGAAGACCACGGCCACTGTGCTCAAGATGCACCCGCCATCTGATCATGTGCCTTCTGCTTTACGTAGAATTTTTTTAAAAAAAGATTTATTGTTATATATAGTGTTCTGCCTGCATGTACACATGCACACCAGAAGAGGGCAGCAGATCTCATTACAGGTGGTTGTAAATCACCATGTGGGTGCTGGGAATTGAACTCAGGATCTCTGAGTTAACAGCCAGCGCTATTAACCACTTGAGCCATCTCTCCAGCCCCTTAGGCAGAAATTCTAAGCCAATCAGGAAATACTGAAAAACCTCCCAGGCTGTGTCACTACCCTACAACCCTGACTGAGACCCTCTTGCCCCAGGCAGCGGCCCTGAGGCCCACTGTTTTCAAAGGGAAGCCACAGGGGCCAGCTAAGCACCTTACCACGCCTTTTCCCGCCTCCAGTGTGGCTATACAGCTCCCCGTATGCAGTTCCCATCCTTCTGAGAACCAGACCAGGAACCACAGAAACACTGCTGCAGCTTAAGGACAAACTGTAAATCTGTGATCCAGATTTTACTCATGAAATTCAACTTGCTATGGCCCTCGGACCCGAGCTCTTCCTCACCTCCTCCTCCTCCACCCGCACTGACACGTCCTTCCTCGGGGATCTGCACTGGTGTGCTCTTCATCACCCATCAGAGAGGATGGCTCGGTCACCCCACCCCCACCCCCGGCCCCCGGTTACGGAGAAGTGTCACAAGTGGGCACAGCTGGTGCGAACGTGACAGCTAAGCAAGCCAGACTCTCGCTTAGATGAGCTTGCTCACCTGCCCATCGTGACTAACTCGACCCGTTCCAGTCCCAAGGAGAGTGACCCTCAGGCTTCTCCCTGCATTCTCCCTAGAGCAAAGGACTCTACACAGCGACTGTTTCTTTCAAACGGTGCAGGGTTTCCCAAAGATCTCATGCCTGCTGCCATGTGAGGTAGACTCCCCACCCAGGGTTGGAAGTCTGCACAGACAGAGCAGACACACACAGACAGGTATGAAGTTCTGTAATTCTCGCCTATGGAAGTGAGCACCCCGCAGCCGAGAGCCTCTGTAGGAAAGTATTATGGTAGCACACGCCTGTAATTTGTGCGTGTTAGAGAGTGGAAATCCACAGGTCAAGCAGGCCAGAGGTTGGTGCTAAGCGTCTCCTCAATGACTTTTTTACTTTATTTTGAAAACGTACTGACTGGCCAGCAAGTCCCAGGGACCCTCCTATACCCGCCTCCCCAGTGCTGAGATCACAGGAGCCCTCCGGCTGTGGAGCATCACGTCACCAACTGAGCCATCACTAACCCTCACCTTTGAAGAGAAATGTGTATGTGTATATGTGTATATGTGTGTGTGTGAGCGCACGCACTATATGTGCTTTTCCTGTATTCAGATCTGGGCACCACACACCAGAGAGGCCAGAAGAGAACGTTGGATGCCCTGGAACTGAGGTTAGACAGTTGTGAGCTGCCATGTAGGTGCTGGGAATTGAACCTGGGGCCTCCGAAGGTCAGCCAGTGCTCTGAACCACCCTTTAGCTGTCTCTCCAGTCTGAAATGTGTGTTCTTAACAAGTCCCTCAGCTGATTCAGACCCCAGCTTGAGAAATGAAGAGCTAAGATGCAGGGAAGAAAGGTGTTTCATAGCTTCAAACTAGCACTTCTGTTTCATAATTAAGTTGATGTGGCCAACCAGGTATGCACCTAATCAAAGGGCTAATGGCCCCTTTCTCCATTTACTTAAAGTGTGTGTGTGTGTGTGTGTGTGTGTGTGTGTGTGTGTGTGTATGTGTGTGAGAGTGTGAGAGAGAAAGAGAGAGAGAGAGAGAGAGAGAGAGAGAGAGAGAGTGAGTACATGCTGGCTGTCCTGTTTTTCTCTGCCTTATTCACTTCAGACCACCTCTCACTGAACTTGGAGCTCACTATTTCTTTGGACGACAAACCCTACTATTCCTTCTTCCATCAGAGGTGCTGGTGGGCCCAGGCCCAGTCCTCTGATAGCGGAACAGTTACCTCAATCCCTGCAGACCCAGACAACACCAGAACCTTCAGGAAAAGCAAACTACCCAAAGTCTCCAAGCCACACTTGACCTTAAGGTCAAAACACCCATGGGCCCACAGGCCAGTGATGGCTGGGAACAGCCTATGTCTATAGAAAGCACAGTGTTACCAGCTCTGCAAATGCAGCATCACCCAAGAAAGAATCTAGTAAGTATGATTCTTCAGCTCCTGGTGTGTGCCAAGACTGTTCCAGATGTTGAGAATATGTATCCATCAGCAGCACGAACCAAGCTCCTTTCCCAGAAAGGCCTTTCTGGTGGGGCCCAGGAAAGCAGGGAGAGGCTTAAGTGCCAGCCCAAAGGAGCCTCTGAGATCTACACCAGCATTCCACCCACTAGACTGCTGGGGAATAATCCTTTCGTACACTGTGAAAATGGGTGGCTCTCATTGTTAATAAAAAGTTAACTGGCTAAGTAGAGTTTTCAGGGCAGAGAGAATGTTGGAAAGAAGAAGGGCCAAGACTGAGGAGTCTCAAGCCAGAAGCACCATGGGAAGTTGATAGACGAGGTAAACAAGCCTCGGGGCAGCACACAGATTAACAGAAATGGGTTAGTCTAAGTTGTAAGAGCTAGCTGGTGACAAGCCTAAGCTAGTGACCCACCATCTATAATTAATTAATAGGTCTCTGTGTGGTTATTCGGGAGTGACGCTGGGACACAGAGAAACTCGGCCTATACTAGACATTGAACAAGAATGGTACACTCTGCATACCTTGGCTGGCTGGGCCCCCAAGCCTCCAAGTTCCCTTTGCATTGTCCACCACAGACACACCAGGATACATAACCCTGACCTCATCCCAGGTACTGACCGCCCTGCTGGTTGCTTTCTCAGGCTTCTCAGAATTTGACTCCTCTGCATGGTACCCCCAACCTGGAGTTGCTCCCCGTCATCTCAGGCTCTTCTTTTTCCTGTGGTCACCCAGAAAAGCATTCCTGATCTTGGCCCGTGTCCTGAGGGGGGCTCTCTTGTACGGCGCCTGCATAGCACGGACACCACAACCTGACTGCAGGCTTATTAACCTGCTTCTCACCAGGTACGGAGCTTTAGGAGGGGACTGGCAGGGTCCCTGTCAGTCCCATGGCTGTCTCCATATTGTCCAATGTCACCACAGGGCAAAGTTAAACTCGCCCCAAAGTGTGTCAAGTGTGGAAAGGCCAAAGAAGGTATCACAACTGTTCTTCACATTCTCCAAGGGTAAAGGCAGCTCACACTTGCTGCTGGGAGTTCTCCAATCCAAGGAGCATCCAGATGCTGTGTGTTCCACCATTACTCGAGTCCTGGGGCCATGTTGCACAGATGTACAAACTTCTCCTCTCAGGCCCAATTCACCAGGAGTCTCTGACCCCACAGTTACTGCAACCCATGTACACATCATCACCTGCCTTGCAAGATCTCATGTAGACAAATGCATTCCTTCTTACTATTAATAAAACTACTTCATAACTTATTGAATTAATAATATAAAAAGTGTTACTGTACTCAACTGAATCAGGTGATGAGAACACGGGTGGGAAAGAGATTCCCTGCAAACCTCTTTCAATGTCTAGGTTCGCCCTGCTGCAGAGAACAGAACTCCTCCATCATCAGCATCATCAGCATCATCACCATCAGCAGCAGCAGCAGAAGCAGCTCCTAACACAGTAGCTTATCTGCATGTTCACAGGAGAACAGCCTGGATCTGGGACCTGCCCACCTCTGCTATGTAAGTGAGTCCTGGCCATCACATCGTACTCCTGACCCTGTCTGGGGACCTTTTAAAGTCCCAACTTCAGGAGTAGTTGCAGAGACAGCAGTTTGGGAAACCTGTACAAGACCATGCCTGAGGCTCTATCTGTGGCATCGGAACAAGCAACTAAGCGCACTGGTACACACTCTCCACCTGGAGCCCGGGCCCGAGTGTACTCCTCTCAACTTGGGCAGAGGTAGTAAGCCATGTTCCCAAGACAAAGGGAGGCCAGGGCCCCTGCTCTAGCTCCTTGCCCAGCATCTAAGGTCTTCTTAGCAGGGAGGAGGGTGAGTCATCCGGCTACTCGCATTCCGCAAGGGGACACTCCCTGAGCGGGTCTGGGAAGCAGTGCTCAGCCACATCCTCTAGGGCTCACCTCAGCAACCCTGGCTGCAGCAGGAGGGCGAGTGTGCCAGCAGGAAAGGGAAGTCCCACAGCAGGGATGACAGAGGGCCGCTAGACCTGTGCTCAGTGACCCCAGAAGCTATCCAAGCTGAGGCAGGACAGCTGGAGCCAGTGTGAGCAGGGAGGCAAAACCCATTCTCGGGGGGGGGGGGGGGGGGGGGTAGCCCAGTGGTAAAGGCATTTGCTATGTAAGGTTGACAAATCAAGTGCAATCCCTGGAACCCACATCAAAACTAGACACAAGGGGGTGGAAGGGCAGCTCCGTGGTTAACATTTAGACCCCAGCACCTGTCTCTATAGAGCAGCTCTCAACCACCTCTAACCTCTGACCTCTGTGGGCACCTGCACATGTATGCACACAGTTCCCCACATATACATCATTAAAAATAAGGTTAATCTTTTTAAAAAAAATTCAAAAGGCCAGACGTGCTGGCACACACTTGTTACGACACCTCTATAGTGATATGGGAAGCAGAAATGAGAACCGGATGGAGGCTCGCAGATCAGCCAGCCTGGAGAGTGCAGGGGCATAGACACCCGGGCAGCCTGGGGAGTGCAGGGGCATAGACACCCGGGCAGCCTGGGGAGTGCAGGGGCATAACCACAGGAACGACTCTTTTTACCTCAACAAGGTAGGAGAGGCAGACGCTGGAGAGTCATCTTGATCCACACATACACTGTGTGTGTCCACTTACAAACGCAATGAGTAAAGTGATGCTAACAACTAGCAGGGCTTCCACTGCCTAGGAGTAGACGAGGGGACCTGCATTCCACATCGCTCATTTTTAAAACTTCATTAGCGGCAGTATTTTTATTTTATAGATGGTGGAGACTGAGGCCTAGCAAATAGCCCAGAAATTGTAAGCCTTAAGAAACAAACAAAACCACAGACAGGAGTCACCACCATATTATTATGATGACTTGGTTTGATGTCAACTTGACACAAGCAAGAGGCATTTGGGAAAACGGAATCTCAACTGAAAAATGCCTCCAAAAGTGGTCTAAAGCTGAGTCTACAGTACATTGTCTTAGTTAGAGATTGATCTAAGAGGGCTGTTGTGGGTGGTGCCTGAGCTGAGCAAGCCATGGCTTCTCTATCAGCTCCTGCTTCGGTGGCTGTGCCCAACAGCAGTGGCTGTGCCCAACAGCACTCTGCCTCAAGGGTGGCCACTCACCTCCATGCGAGCCTTGTAAAAGTCCACATCATGCAGCTTCTCCTTGCAGCGTATCAGTTCCATCTCCAGCCTCTCCACACGGTTCGCCTTTTCCCTCAGCGAGTCCAGCTCATCCCGATAGGCCCGGGCTGAGCGGGCATCAGCAGCGAGCTGGATATTCTGTAGGAGCGAGAAGGTGAAACCCCAACTTAAGACACTCATTGGAGGATCAAATCCCTACAGCATGGGATCTCCTGACGGCCAAGGAGCTCCATGTCCATGCACCCTGCATGGTCTCCCACACTTTCACTAAGAAACACGGTTGGCATCCTGAGGAGGCTCTCAGGACAACAACTGTGGACAGCTTTGCTACATTCCTGACCCCCTGGGACCGATTACTGGGGAACCCCAGCCTTAGCCCAGGCCTTGTGCTCACATCTTGCTTGGCCTTCTGAAGCTCCAGGACCAGCTGGTCCACCTCGTGTCTGGTATCTGCAAGCTGCTCCGTCTTCTCCTCCCTGCACGGGTGATTAGGAGAGAGTGAAGGGGAGGATGTTTCTTGGCAGGCTCAGGGAACAGGCTGCTACTTCTAGAACCACAGAGGGGAAAGGAGGGCACACGCGCTTCTAGAAGTCTGTGAAAATATTCCTGACATGTATTCTGTATGCTTGTACACACATGTGCGTGCATGCACGCATGTGCACAATTCACTTGTGCAAGTGTATGCAGTACCCATAGATTTGATAGTCCATGTCTTTCTCTATGCCCTCCACATCATTTTTCTTGAGACAGAGTCTCTCATAAAAACAGGAACTCGTGTTTCAGCCAGGCGGACTAGCCAGCAAGCCCTGGGGACCCTTGTCTTCACCCCCAGTACAGGGTTACAGATGTGCTGTTATGTGGGTGCTGGGATTCCAAACTCTGCAAGCACTGTACCCACTAGGCCATCTCTCAAGATCAAAATTCTTAGGTTTCTAACAAGCACCCTTAAACTGGGCCCAATAACCAACTACCTATTGCCCCTAAGTGAACAAGACAGACAGAGACTAGCCACAGCTCTGTGAGGCCAGACATGAAGAGGTAAAGCTGAGCAACTCCCCAGATACACAAGTGACATTTACAACTTCAAGAAAACGGGAAAGAACCAAGAGAGCCAAGAAAACAATCTGTTCATCCCGGCCCTAAACTGAGTCTGCATGAGCAGTCGTCTACTTTGATAGGCAGCCTGGCTGGATCCTAAGCACCAGGAAGCCCTCCCTACAAGTGCAGACCTGCAGAAGGCTGGTGATGAGCCTTCAGCCACAGGAGCTCAGAGCTGCCCCGCCAGCTGAGCTACCCCACACCACCACACACGCAAGCAAAGTACCTGAGAAGAACCATGTTAGGTTCATACCACAGAAGAGGGGAAAAAACGGCAGGACTCACAGTTCCTGCCTGACGCGCCGCAGCCTGGCCTTAGTGTCAGCCAGTTCAACTGCCAGGTGCTGCTTGTCTTCGCTAGACAGGCTGCTGGTGGGGCTTGGTGTGGAGTCTGGACTGGAGAACTTGCCGGGGCTGGGAGGGTGCTGCGCCTGGAGGTAGTCCCTCTCTTGTGTCAGGTCCACAATCAGCTGGAAGACAGGGAGAAGACAGGCATATGCGGGGTCACTGCTGCTCCCTGGACTGGCCCAGTGTCCAGGCCCAGATTCAGTGAAGAACCACTGAGACAAAAAGTCTGAGAATCAGGAGGGAGAACATGCTACATGTTTACAGAGCAGGAGCAGAAGCAGACCCCACCCATGTTAGGAACCCTGGTCAGCCTCTGTCTTCCTGTGGGCATCTGTGCTGAGGCTATTCACCACAGGGGCTATACCCTGGGGGGATACTGATGTCCCACCCTAGAGACCCTGACCAGCAGGCCGGGAGGAAAGGCCGCGTCAGGGACCCACACTGCCAGCCACAGCTGTCCCCCAAGCACACCTCGGTGCACTCGTCCCGTTCATCGATGAGTCTGCGGAGGTGGAACACCATGTTTCTGGAGAGGGCCTCCAGCTCCTCGGGGGCCACATCTGGCAACTCCAGCCACTGCAGGTCAAACACATTCTCCTGGTTGTGGGTCACCTGTGGGAACACAGCCTAGGATTGCAGAGGCTGCTATGCATGGCCCTGGTATTCCTGAATGCCCAGGGCCGTGTAGAGTGTGACCTAGGCAGAGCCAGAGGCCACTCTACACCTCATTCCCACATCAGGGACAGCAATTTACTTCCCAGACGTGATTAAAACCTCACTGATAAATTTCCCATGCCCAACAGAGGGGGCTCCTTAAGTCCTGTCCTAGGATGACAAGACACTCATTCTCTGGGATGCTGTGAGCTGCATTAATTCACAACATAGAGAAAGTGAGTTTTCAGTGTGTGGACGAGGAACAGCTCTTAGCTTATTTCTTAAAATCTAATGCAAACAGAACAAAAATGTTAAGCCTCTTAGTTCAGAACCGTGCGTACATAGCAATCTTGGTTTCTTCAGGGGAGTTATTTACAGTCTTAGGCGATTTTGAGTCTTTGGTCTCACTCCCACAGACCACAGAGGGCAGCCTGGCTTTACCACTCTCCTGAGCAGAGAGCTGAGGATCTGCTGAGCTGCCGTCCTCTCGTCGTTGGGAGAGAGACAGCACAACACATAGGTCTCAAGGGGACGGCAAAACCAGGGGAAGAGGTGTCCACGGCGGAAGCACTCAGATGTCTGAACAAGGAGAAATCTTATCCCATGGTATCTTGCAGTCAGGATCTGAAGGCCAAATCCCCAACCTGATCTAGGCCAGGGCTGGGAAGACCCTGAGTCTCAATGTCATTGTGGATGGCCTCAGGGTCTCCAAGCCCGTGTCACGTGGTCACCTGAGTTTTTTAATTTCAGGCCCATTCTCCCCCTCTCTTGATCCTAACAAGCGGCTCCATGGCAGATCCTGAGCATGGGGCTTTTAGGAGGCACCCAATGAATTCCTATGCTAGCCGTCAAATTTGCTAGTTTACACAGGCCTCTTTGGTTGTATATTTCTTTTTCTCTTTTAATATCCTGCAGTCTGATCAGGAAGGACAGTGAGTGGCAAAGAACTTGCAAATTTCAATGACCTAAGACTGTCCCTAGACACACATATTTGCAAAACACAATACCCACAAGGAAATTGAAAGGCAGACTACTTCTTAAACTCAAAGAAGCACAGTAATGGGTGAGACTATTTATTAAATACTGACTTTCTCTTATGTCAGCTTGTCTGGGCCTCCTCCTACTGCATGCCCCCGTGGCATCTACCTCATGCTTCAAACCCTGAACCCTGCCGTGCCCCAGCCACCATGGGAGCCAGGTATCCCAGCCACAGACATGTCGCCAGCACCTCCCAGGAAAGCCCTGTGCCTGGGGCCTCTTCTAACTGCACAACGGCTCTTGCATGTTCCCAGTTCCGCATTTCTCTACCGTGTCTAAGTAGAGCGCGCGCTGAGCCCAGACAAGGCACGGAGCACTAGGACACCCCCGGTGGACAGCTGCTACACATGAAGTCACCTTTTCAGCTGATACCATCTCAGCCAACCTTAGACAGAGGAACAGGAAGGTCTGCCTTGTCCTGCCCCATGGCGGTGACCGCGTGGAGGCCTCCTGAGGCCGTGTTCTCAGGGTGTGCTGGCTCTGACATCTCCCTTGGTGGCAGCTTGTTTCCTTGTGTCTCACTGACAGCAGTGGAGACGCTCTATAAAGATCAACTGTTCAGAGCGGGATGACATTTGCCAGAATACATTTTCAGGGCCAATAAATCAAATTCTGAGCCTAAACCATTTGACAGCTCTTAAAAATAGTCTGAGTCCATATAAGGCAAGAAGAAGCAGGCAGAAAATGACTTGATTGAAGTGTTGATTTTTTAAAAAAAAAAAAACAAAAAACTTCTATTTTATTTTAGCTTGCTGGTGGCTACCTTTCCAAACACAATCAATGTGTCTGTGGTG